TAATTTAAATGAATAACTTAATCAATTTACACACAAGATCGAGACAATAAAATTATCTCACCATGATTCTTTAAATCAGTATCATCTTCACAACGCGATTTGCAATCAATCATTTCTATAATTTGTCTATTTCGATATCCAAGTAACGTAATACAAGTACTTTAAATTCATGCCGATCATCGACATGGACAAGTCTCTCCCAATAACCTGTCCTGAACGAGGTTTTTACCTGAGCTGCAATATTAATTTAAATTCTAGAACAGCGAACTTAAGACGGCAAGTTAATATTTGGATACATAGTATTTGGGATCAAAGATTTAAGTGACACTTGTGGATTCATTGATCGTCAAACCTCAAATAATGTAGTGGTGGCCAGTGTTGAAAATTTGATGTTCTCAGTGTTCTCAGAGAACACAAAATTATTTTTGAGAACATTGAAAATTATAAAATGTTCTCTTATTTGAGAACATTTTAATGGAGTCGAATGTTCTCAGTGAGAACACACTATTTATATTTTATGTTCTTGTTAATAAAAATTCTGCGCACATGATATGATGCGTGTAGTTCTAAAAATGAAATTTCACGTGGTGTACATAATAATTGCTCGTTATAATTCTATTTAGGCGTCAACACCCGTCACATGCTTTATTGATAAGTAACTAGCTAATCTATCGCTATAGCATGTATGCCTTTTTCCAAAATACGATTTGGAAATTGCACATTAAGTCCGGGCTGACCTTCTTCTCAAGATGACTCGGAAATGCACAACGACCAAGGCTGACAATCCGGCAACAGGGCGGGAGCTGAAGTAGTGTGACTAATTCTTGCCCGCCGAAATCGCGTCGTTCTGCCGTCATTGTTATACATTTCCCATTCACACGTTTTGTTTATCTTGCCCCTTATAATACTTCACACGCCTCCCATTCTGATCGACGCTGCTTGATGCTTTTCACATGCATCCCGTACTCTCCGAGATTGTGCCAGCTTGCCCCGGACCTTCAATTTCCATTTTGGTTAGTAAGTATCAACGCCCACTCATGTGCTGATATTGGTACTTACCCATTTTGGACACTTCCTGATCCCGTCATTTTTATCCCAATATATAAGCGTCTATTCCACTATGTCGAATAAAGGAAAATCAAAAAAAATTGAACCAAAAATCAATCCTTTTACTATAGCCGTGCAAAATGCTACTCGCCGGCGTCTATTTGATGAAACAGGGGAAAGCTCTTCTGATGTTACAATTTTTTCGGCACAAAATGATGATGATAATCCACGCAGAATCAAAAATCCACGTTTAGCAAAGGAATCTTTGACGTGGGATCCAAATTGGCCAAGATTATTCCTTGGGTATATCGTGGAAATGGTGCTTTGGCTAATTATATGTTTTGTCGTTTGTGTCAAGATGGTGGAAAAAGTAACAATTTTACGAATGGTTGTGAATACTTTAAGAAGCAATCATTAGATCGCCACATTAACACCAAAGACCATAAAACAGTTGTGGCAGCTCGATCAGCAGTACAAATGGACATTCGTACTGGTTTTGTAATGCAAGCCGGAATTAATCAAATCAAAGTAATGCAGAACATGAGAAATGTTTACTTTTTGATCAAGCACAATCTGGCGACAAATCTATTAGAAGACTTATGTAAGCTTGTTGAGATTCAACAGATGTCAAATTTTCAAAATGGGCTTTCTACTCTGAACTCGGTCAATGATGAATTATTGGTTAATGAAGAAGATTTTCGTTCACCTTATGCTAGTTATACAAATCATGTGGCAGGACGAGAGTTTATTGAAGCAATTGGTCACGTAATAGAGCAATCAACTTTTCAAGAATTGCGTTCATCTGGTGCTTGGAGTATTATGCTTGATGAAAGCAATACTGTATCAAATGAAAAAACATTGGCGATTGTTTCAAAGCACTTGCTTGCACCTGCAAAGCCAATTTACCGCTTTCTTGGAATGATATCTCTAACGAATGGTATAGCAAATGCAATTATGGATGACATTAATTCTTTTATGATGGCAAAAGGTTTGTCTGTAGATGAATTACGCCATGCATGCACTGATGGTGCAAATACAAGGCTAGGTATTCATAATAGTGTTGTTACACAACTTAAGCGAGCCAGTCTATTTATGCTTCAACACCATTGCATATCTCATCAACTAGCTTTAGCAGCAAAAGATGCCGCCAAAAAAGTCTCTGAAATTGGATTCTATGAAAAGTTGATACATAGCATCTACAGTTATTTTTCTCATAGCTTTGAACGAATGCTCAAACTAAAAATGATACAAGATGAAATTGGTGATCCACAATTGGCTGTTCTCAATATCGTTGAAACAAGATGGCTCTCATTATCCAATGTGTTAGCAATTTGCATCAAATTCTGGATTCTATAATTGGTACATTACTTAAAGACGCTGAAGACAATGTTGCTGCACAATCATTATATGACAAAATTGATGATTCATTTGTTACAACAACCAAGTTTATAGCAGATATTTTGGGAATTTTACGTCAAATGCATTTATTATTTCAAAGAAATAATATTACAAATCGTGAAATCAAAACTCAATTTGATATTACAATTGCCACTATCAATGAACAATTTATTGGAACTGAAGAAATTGAGCCAACCTGGGGTATACATTTGCGAAAACATATGGAGACCAATAATATCAATCCAGAAACTCTTCCACAATACATCCAAGATTTTGCCAGAGCTACTATTGAATCATTAAAAAAAAGATTTCCAAACTGTATCCAAATTGACGCTTTTCACATTTTTGATCCTAAAAGTTTGCCAACTGAAGATAATGATTATGGAAGAAAAGAAATTGATATTTTGGCGAATTTTTATGGTGAGGAAAAAATTATATCAGGTAAATTTTTTAAGCCAATTTTGAATGCTGAAAATCTTGTTCATGAATGGGTTTCTGTTAAAATTCTTTTGAGCAATTATAAACAGTTTGGATTATTAGAGGCATGGCAAAATATTTTTATCGATTTTCCTGATTTTATTACTGTTTATCCTGAAACAGGAAAATTACTTCCTTTATTATTTACGCTTCCTTTAACTAATGCTACTGTTGAACGCATTTTTTCTAAGCAAAATTTAGTCAAAACAAAACTTCGTAATCGTATGAATATTTCAACTCTTAATTATCTTTTACTTATTTCATTTAATGGACCAGAATTGGATCAATTTAATTTTGAATTAGCTTATGAAGAATGGTCTAAATTGGATCGAAAAATGCAATAAAATTTTAATTTTTAATTTTATTAAATTTAATAGAGAACATAAAAAAATTTTTGAGAACATTATTTAATAATATATGTTCATTTGAGAACATAAAATCAAAATCAAATTTTCAACACTGGTGGTGGCTATTAGTAAAGATTGAAAATTCGATTAACGAAGCTTATTTAGTGTTTATTGAGATGAATTTTCACTTTATTAATGCTTTGCCATATTAAGGACGACACGTAAATTTCCGATCGATGTCCTTGATTGTATGCATTCTATCTTCTCTATTTTTTTCATCTATCACAATGCTCTCGTATGTAAACTCCATCATTCTCTATACTCCCTCTATCATGATAATGTCTTCGATCTTGTGCGAAATCCCCTCTACGATGTAGTCCCAAAAATGCATATATAGATAGGTTAAGAGCTCCAATAAAAGGATAATTTGCGTACAAGTTCTTCACAAAAAAATTATCGAAATACCCCGTGTAATTGTTGATGGTTAGATCCTTTGATACAAAAGGTGTCATATTAGTGTTTGTTTGAAGATCATAATTCTATAATTCTCACGCCCAAAATCCACCTACTCATCTCATATTTCTTTATAATTCCCGATACATAACAAACTATATCAGCACAGGTATTTGACGTTGCCCACGTAACAACATCCCAATCTCACATACAGCCAAAAAATTCGCAAATCCACGTAAACGTAACTCAGATGCTAATAATGCGGGCAAAATTAACTCAATGCGAGTAGAAATTTACATAACCAGGCATCAAAAAATAGAAGTAACACAATAGTCAAAACTTTTTAATGGCATATATGATACATGTATAAAGAATTTGTTTGACTACGACTAAAATGGAATTTAAAAATATCAAATCTGAAGACAATTAGAAAGAAATTTCTTTGCGAAGAAGCTACCCTAATTAAAAAGAGAAGTTTTGTTAAGGGAAAAGCTAAAATAGGAAGCAAAGAAATGCTGATGAAATCAAGAAAAGGAAGGATAACGAATACGAAAAGGCGAAAAAGAAGAATTCGAGCATCATTAATTCGCTTTGGCTTTAAAAATCGTCCGCTATGTTTTTATATGCTTTCTATTTAGCGTAAGAATTTGTGTAAGGAACCAGATAGTATGTGGGTCACGAAGTTGAAGGTGAGGAAGTAGATAACACGGAAGAATTATTCAAAAATAATTATTCAGTAATAATTCCTTTTATTAATAAATATCGCTCATTCATTTATGTCCGATCATCAAGTTAAAAGAGGCAAGGAGGAAGACTCATAACTAGATGTTCTGACTTTTAAATTGAATCTTGTAATCAAGTTATATGAGTTGTAGAAACATGATTTCATATTTGGCATGATCTTGTCGGTTAATTACAGGAATTAGTTGATCAGTTGAGTCTTTAATTCATAAATTTTATGATTCTTTTATTTCTTTATAGCTATGAATTAATGACGCTAACTAGAAGAGCGTTTTATTGGGTTTTTTATATTATTATTGAAAATGTATCTTTCACGAAAATATTTCAATGATTACTTTAATAAAAGAGGATTTTATTAATAAATTTACATAACTATTATAATTAAAAGTAAAACCTATAAAAAATTATTCTAATAATGAATGAATTGTCTTCATCATACAATTCAACCCTTCATCATCTTTATTTTTCTTATCATCATTCCCTATCATCTTCATTTTAACATCAACAATGACCACACATTGATTAGTACTGCAACTCATGGCTACAAAATCCCGTACAACACATGTTTTGATCGATGATGAATTCTATCAATGGTATGTCGTATCAGCGTAAGCGTCATTAAATAAAAAACGTGTTTACAGGATTTTTGAAGTCATGAGTTTTATGTGCTGGGTTGCAGATGATTCTGAAAAATCAAAATTGTAGGATGTGGAATTTTGTTACTATTACTGAATAATGCATGTGGTCATTGTTGGTGTTAATGAGGAAACGATGATGAAATGGAATATGATGGTGAGATTAAAGGATTCACCCGAAACGATCCTACTAGGTTACAACATATACATATAGCTCATTTTTATACAGACATATTAGACGTGTACTATGCTTTTAAATATTTCGCATGCTTATACGGTCAAAGCTCTATTTTATTACCAAAGCCAAATTGTAACATGTGATTTGTAAAATTGAACACTACTTACTGTACATGTATTATATTAATGATTTATAATCAACATTATCTAAATGAAAAAACGTTTTAGAATAATGTAATGGTAGTTAACCATCAATATATCCATCAATGAATTTTTCATCCAAACAAATGGAGAAAATTTTAACCCATTAAATGACGTGATTGATGCATTTAACAGCAGTGATTTATATAACCTCATATTTCAAATGCATAAAATATTCAAGTATGAGGTGATATATATCAGCGTTCCTAATTACAGTATAAATATTAATTATTCCTCCTTTTACCTTAATATTTTTCTTGACTAAGAATGATTATAATATTATTTGACAGAAAATTTCTATAGATACTTTGAAGATAATAAAGTAATTGATTAGAATAGTCTAGCTCAATTTGTTGGTGATGATTATTTACTTAGAATAGAAAAAATCAAATTTTACATCAGTTTTGTGAATGGTTTCTAGTAATTTTTCTTTATCATTATTAGTATAGATTTTAATTAAATAATTGATTTTAATTTTGTTCAATATTATATTAATCTTCTTCTTTTTAATACTGTCTTTATCATCATTTTAAAGGTTTACTTTCTAGGTATTATATTTATTATTTGTTATAGTTTATAGTCTTTATTTTCAGTTTTATTATTCAATTTAGTACTGTAATATCCATCTGGCTTCTTCTATTATAATTTCAGTTTTGCAATCTCTTTAACTTTTATTTCAGGCTTGATTTTGGCTTTTTCTTTATCAATTCTCTGATTCATTTGGAAACTTGTTAGAATTATGTGCTATAATCATTATATTTCTCAAAGCTACAAGAAATTAAGCATTTAGTACAGAGTCAGATATTAATAAATTCTAGTCAAACTAATTATAATTATTATTCTGAAATCAGTTATTAATATATTAATATAAAGATTTCAGCTGCTAATATTTTTTGAATCTATTATTATTAATATTTTTCCAGTTTATCTTCAAATTTATATTCAGTAATATAGTGATATAGAATAATCTTTTTAATTTTATTACATTCCTGATATATAGATATTATGATTTTCATTATTAACTTTATAAAGCTGAATTATTTATCAAAATAAGAATATTGACAATCTAATAGATGAATGCATGAAAATCAGAAGGCATTTCCAATAAATTCTTTTGAAAAATTTATCAATATTGAATATCTTGCAAAAGGAATTATAAAGCATTCCTACTGTTACAAGTAGGAGCATAAAGAAAACAAATTTAAATAAGTTAATAATGATAAATATAAAGTTGGGTTGAAATTGCATAATTCAAAACAAATTATAAAAGAGATAGAAATTGTATAATTTTTAATGTATAAATAAGACTTTATAATGTCATCAAATAGTTAATAATAAATTTGGATTGTTCTAAAGAATAGTAATCTTTATTTTGATATAAGTTATTATGGAATGACTAAAAACCCAATTACAAATGAATATTTAATAGTAATAGGAATAATAAATCAAGCTTGACAAGCTTGACAATGATAAAGATAATAATTATTTTAATTTTGATATTTGCATATATATTAGTTCCAACTACAATGAATTGACTTGGAAAGAAAAATTATAATATTTAAAGTAATATTGATGCTTTCATTGTGATTTTTTGGACTTACTGATCCAATGGACATAAAAATCAAGAAATTTAAGAAATACTTCTTTATATAAGTTCAGAAGTACTAAGTGGAAAGCCATATATTAAAGCTTCAGATATTTATAGTTTGAAAATAATTATGTACAAGATTACAATAAATAAATAACTATTTGATAAGCAGAATCATGATAAAAATCTCAGTAATAATATTTATAAAGAAGTAATGACCTATAATATCAAATATTATTCCTTGTTGGTGCAAATTGATTATTAAAAATGTTGAAATCCAATTCCAGAAAACAGATCACTATTGAGAAACTTGAAGAGCTTCTGAGAATAAATAAACAGAAATTAAAAGAATCACAAAAAAGTATTCCTATGAATAAACTTAAAAAATAACAAATTCATTCAAATATAGTCTACAAAAGTCAAATATTTACTCCAAAATTAATATCAATCCCAAGATCTAAATATATCAAATATTTATGTTCAATGAGTGTTAGTTTGTATATTCCAAATGAATGTAAAATTAAATTGATGTTATTTTTTTGATTCATTGATTTTTAATATTTTTCATTGGTGATAAAAAACAGATTTGGATATGCTGAATGATTTGTAAGAACTAGATTTAAATCTTAATTTTAACTGATTTACAAAAGTGGTTTAGATTTTGGATAAATAATTTTTTTATAATTATATATATAAGCTTTTCTCTTCATTTATAATTGAAATCTATTTATAAAAGAAAGTAATTATTTCAATAATATTATATTTTTATTGTGTCTTGAATATTTTAAAACAAAAATTATCTTTATTTATCATAGGTTGAGCTCATCTAGCCATTATGGTAATGACCATGTCAGACATTCAACCGCACTATTCCCAACATCATGACCAGTCTGCTGCAGGCCCAGCCCCTTATGAGCACAGTGCTATGGGCAGGAGCAATCATTATAATTTGCAAGGATTAATATTGAAATAATGAACAATCTAAAAAAGTGAGTATAGTTGCATTATTTTCAAATACTTGATTTGAGAGGTTAGAAATAATAATATAATAAAAATATTAAATAAGTCCTATGATAAAATGAATGATATAGGTTTCGAAAGAAGTATATAGTATAGTCAGAAATCATGAGTATAGTATGATCCAAAAAGCTATCTATATTAGTATTTATGATAAATGAGAGTATTATATGATTTAATAATGATAAGCTACTTATATTTCTGCAAACAAATGACTTTAAACATGAGATCATTGTGTAATGGAAAATTCAAAACAAGCGGAAAATAGCTTGTATATGTATTTCAAAAGTTTGCCTACGAAACTACTTTATAGTCTCTTTTTTTATTATTTTATTATTAATTCTTATTTTAAGTTAAAATTGAAATTGATATTTAAGTTCAATGTCATAACCATCCATCTATTTTCGAAATACAAGAATTTCATATAACATAGAATATTATTTTTTATATAAATTTGATGAAATAATAATTATGCTTGCTAAAATTCACTAGACACAAAAGATTAATAAAGATATAACTGGAGTAAAGTCATTTACTGGATTGGAGCATATGAATTTATTGTCAACAACATGGCCTAAAATTATAAATACTACATAATTTTGGCCTACATTAAACTCAAGCCATAATAAATAACTCAAATTAGCTAGAAAATTCGCGATTTATTTTATTTTTTGCATTCAGCGCTGGAGAATTTCCGTTCTAATTCGTCATCGTCATATGAAATACATCTTATCATAGAATTATTTGTTGGTTTTGTAAAGATCAATAATATATATTATATAGTAGATAAGGAAATTGATTAAATAAGTAAATTGGCTAAATAATATATAAAATTGTATATTTTAAATGTTAATATTATATATATTAAATAATTGTACAATTTTTGAATGGAGTCAAAGCTTTTTTATAATTTAAATAATTTTAAAATTTTAAATTTAAATTTTTGCAAAAAGTACATTAAAGTTGAATATTTTTTGTTCATGTTCAAACTAATTCTAACCAAATTTTGAAACAACTTATTTTTTACAGGGACCAAGTTCCTCAATGGTTAGTCCGTTTTCTGGAATAGGATCCCAACATTTCAATAATAAATTTGAATAACTAATAACATTCGTATTCCTTATAAATGTCTAATATGAGATCTCGATCATAATTTCGTTCACAGAATGGCAGTTCTCCATTTACAATCTCATACATAACCATTCCAAAGTTATATATATCTGCAGTGTCATTTATGGCATTCCACTTAGTACTTCTGAGAATTATTTCTTTAATTTTTAAATCTGTTGGATCGTTAAATAAGCATCAATATGTTATGGATAGTGACTTTCATCCTGGAAATGTATTATAAGTTCCTTCTCGTAAAATTTTTGCTATATTTTTGATAAAATACAAGTAATATTCTAATTTTTCTTCCCAATTCAATTAGCCATAGTTGGAACTATAATATTTGCGAACGTCATGTTCGTTGTCGTAATATTTTTCTGGATAATCCATTACCATCGATTTTTCATTTGTATTTGGTCTTTAGTTAACATATTCCAAATTAAAGATCATTTGTCAGAGCAGTCCGTTGAATTATTAAAAAAGGTCTTTTTTCACATTAAAATAAAAATTGGCCTCTTCTAGTTTGCTTTGAATCACGTGATTTCAACACAACTTCACTTTATCATTGTAATAGTATAGTGATGCTGTTACGTGAGAGAAATATTAATAGTTAATTGTTGGGAGAGTGTTTGTAAGGTAATAGCGAGTGGAGTACTGGTTCCTGTGCTGATATCGTTGTATAAAAACGAGTGTGGGATAAGGGGGTGAGTAGCTTAGATAATAATTCCAAGCGGCTCCTCTACTAGTTCTGATTTCAATCCTAAGGATTGCTTTTTCTAGATAAAAGCCCTAAACTCTTCGATTTCACAATTACGTTGTCTTCCCAGATTAAGGTCCTAACCAACAATATTATTCGATTACAGGCGTAAAGGATCTAACCCATCAAACAGAATAACGGTTGACAAGCAGAGAATTAAATATACACGATTCTGGCAGAGTTTTGGCAAGTGTTTTTTCAATAATAAGCAATAGGTCAAAAT